AGTTCCTCTTTAACCGCCCTCGTCAGCGGACGGAGCGAGCAGGAGCTCCCTCACAGTCTCTCAGACTGTATTTTCCATTAGTTAGGTTACATAGTTTTTCCCCTGTTACTCCAAGTTAGTTTCCCTTGTTTTTCTCTTTGAAATAATAACAACAAAATATTTTTATAAGAAGAACGAAACTGACAACAAAATCCCCCCTCTGGGACTAAAACTCCCTTCAGACCGGAGCCCCGGGTGAACCGGAGCGCTCTCTCTCCTGGCTCCTCAGCCAGAAAAACACATAAACCATATAAAAGAAAAAGAAACGAAATACCAACACTTTAAAGAAACAAGAAGCAAGGTTGGGGTGGGGCTTTAAAAAATGCGAGCAGTGCCGCGCCGGCTTCTGACGGCCACACGAAATGTATCCGCTGCTTGGGGGAAGCTCACTCACCCCACAGCTGCACGCACTGTGCTTCCCTCACGGCGAGAGCTAGAAAAGATAGAGAGCTCCGCCTGAGGATGATTTTATTTGATAAGGCTCTGCAGCCTTCAGAGCAGGGGGAACCGCAGCATGAAACCCCCCTGCCACCGAAACCTACAAGGCAGAGAGCCTCACCATCTCGCTCTCTCCCGCCTTCTTCCTCCCCCAAGATCCAGGGAGAGGGGCAAAGAAATCCGAGGACCCCTGCTAATAAAGCAGAGGGAAAATCCTCGCGGTCTACATAAACGCCGGTGCGCACTGCTTCTGAGCCCTCCCAGGAACGCACTGAGAAACCCGGGCGAAAAGAAAAGCCGGCGCCGCTTCAAACCGCGGCGCCGCTTCAAGCCCTGGCACCGCAAAAAACCCCGGCGCCGCTTAAAGGGACGGCATCACTAAAACAATCCGCACCGCAGCAGAGCAAACCCCATACACAGCCGGCACCGGCTGCGACTGTAAACCAGAGCTCTGCACCGGCGCCGGCAGCAGACAGCGAGAGGCATCTTCATGAGTCTGCTACAGAGCTCTCTAAGCCACCGTCTGACACTCACAGCAGGCAGCAACATTCATGCCTCCCTCCCATTGACTGCTCACCTGGGACATCCTTTGCAAGGCATTCCCCTGCCAGATCTATGTCCCCAGTGTCCTTGCAAGGCGCTCCCTTTCCAGATGATGACCGCCACACGACATATTCTTCGCGACAAACGTCGCCAAGGGGGTCTCGTTCCTACTATCAGAGGGCTGGACCGCAACAAAACCCGTGGCACCCTTACTGGTCTTACCCGCCCCCACCTTACCCACCCCAATGGGGGCCCTGGGACCATTGGGATCCATACAGACGCCAGTCCTCAGTCCACTCCACACCATCTCGGAGGGGTCTGCCTCATCCACAGCCCCTACCCCCTGCATCACACACAGAGCAGGAGGAGGAGGAGGAACGACTTTCGGATAATGAATCCGATATTCAATCGATAAACATCACACACCGAGATGACCTGAGTGCCCAACAGGACGATGCGGTTATACCATCAGATACCGTAGCGATTGATGAACTCAAACAGTTTCAGGAGCTATTTAAGCGGGTAGCAACAAGTCAGCATGTCTCCCTACAAGAAGTGCAAAAGAAACAACACCACTTGTTAAAGAACCTGCATCCTACGTTGCATAGTAAGATTGCCCTGCCAATTGACGAGGCAATCATGGAAACATCTGAGGATCTGTGGAAGACACCCGCATCCATCCAACCGACTAACAAAAAGATTGATAGAAAATATTTTGTTCCACCAAAAGACAATGATTTCCTCTTTACGCATCCACAAGCAAACTCCTTAGTGGTTGAATCTGCACAGCAAAGAGCGAAGGTACCGCAATACAAGAATGGCAATACGGACAAAGACCATAGAAAGCTCGACTTCTTTGGAAAAAGAATATATTCCTCTTCTACCCTACTATTAAGAATATCAAATTATTCTGCCCTCTTAGCGAATCATGACTTTGATAATTATTCAAAGTTGGGAGAACTGATACCACATCTCCCTGAGTCCAAAAGAGCTATCTTGAAAGCAATAGTCCACGAAGGCCATACCATCGCTCGCACTGCCCTCCAAACGGCAATGGACGTTGCTGACACAGCAGCTAGAACTACAGCTACGGCGATAGTCATGCGCAGAACTTCCTGGCTACAGTCATCTGGAGTTCCCCGAGAACTTCAGCCCAAAGTAGAAGACTTACCATTTGATAAACAAAAATTATTTGCAACTTCTACAGACGAAATGCTACATAACAGTAAGAACTCGAAAACCACACTTCGCACACTAGGCATGTACACACCGCCTTTCAAACGCAGACGATACACCCCATATAACACGTACAATCGTTACAGATATGGGCAATACAACCAACCACAGAGACCCTATGAGGACACTAGGCCAAGGCAACGACCTCAGAGAAGGCGACCTAATCAAGGCCGCCCACCAACTACCCAGTCCTCCAAGCAGCAAATTTGAAGTCGTGGTCGAGGGTCTGCAATACCTCCCTCACTATCTAGCAATAAGGCAACATGGCCATCTGTTTACCCACCGTTTGCAGCCGTTCCTCCCACAATGGGAATCCATAACATCGGACCGCTGGGTTCTAGACATAATTCGAGTAGGATACACTATCCCATTTACCACTACCCCACCTACCCTTCCCCCTACCCCGTCCCTTTTCAGGGATCCCTCTCACCAGACTCTACTAAAACAAGAGATCGATCGCCTCCTTTCAATCGGAGCCATAGAAAGAGTACCAGTAGAGTTTCACGGGAAAGGGTTTTACTCGAACTATTTCTTGATCGAGAAAAAAACAGGGGGCTGGAGGCCAATATTAGACCTCCGCAAACTGAACAGGTTTCTCAAGAAACAACGCTTCAAAATGGTCACACTTACAACAATCATTCCTGCGCTAGATCAAGGGGACTGGTTTGCAGCCCTCGACCTACAAGATGCGTATTTCCATGTAACTATCCATCCCGCCCACAGACGCTATCTACGCTTTACTCTCGGCCAGGATCATTTCCAATACAATGTCCTCCCCTTCGGCCTCTCCTCAGCTCCGAGGGTATTTTCAAAGGTACTAGCAGTTGTCGCTGCGTACCTCAGATGCCAAAATGTCATCATATTCCCCTACCTAGACGACTGCCTTTTAAAGGGCTCAACACAGGACGAAACCGCCTCCATGATAAGTACGACCACATCCCTCCTCAATCATCTAGGCCTTCTACTCAACGAAAACAAATCAATACTGCACCCAGCTCAAAATATAGAGTTCATTGGGGCACGCCTGGACTCAATCACAGCCCAAGCATACCTACCTCGACGACGTTTCATAACTATGCAAGAAATTATAAGTGTAATGTTTACAACTCCTACCACTACAGCTCTTACTTGTCTCCGACTAATGGGCCACATGGCTTCCACCACCTACGTTGTCCACCATGCTAGTCTGCATTTCCGATGCTTCCAACTCTGGATAGCAAGTGTATACATACCGTCACGACACTCCCTCAACAAGACGGTGACTATTCCACCAGACGTTCTTGCATCCTTAAGGTGGTGGACGATACCGAACAACCTCCTTACAGGTGTTCCATTCCAACAGATCGAACCCACTATACAGATTACCACAGATGCTTCCCTCCTTGGTTGGGGAGCACACATGAACGATCAAGGGGTTCAGGGAAGGTGGTCCCCATCCGAGTCACGACTGCACATCAACCTCCTCGAACTGCGGGCAGTAAGGAATGCCTGCGCACACTTCGCCCCCAACATTGCCAATCAGATGGTCTGCATTCTAACGGACAACATCTGCACAATGTTCTATATAAACAGGCAAGGCGGAGCCCACTCCCTCTGTGTGGAAGCTATCTGCCTGTGGAACTCATGCATCCACAACCATGTCACCCTGATAGCATCCTACCTGCCCGTGGTGAACAACACCAGAGCAGATTCACTCAGCTGCAACTTCACCTCTGATCACGAGTGGGAGTTAAACTCAATCTTCAACCAATGGGGATGGCCATCCATAGACCTCTTTGCGTCTACCCACAATGCCAAATGCCCCCAGTTATGCTCACGCGCAGGACTTGGCAAACATTCCCTGGGGGTTGCCTTTCTAATCAAATGGACAGCCCCCCTACACTATGCCTTCCCCCCCATATACCGCTAATCCCAAAAACCTTTCGCAAGATCTGCAGAGGCGGAGCCCTTGTCATCCTGATAGCCCCATCGTGGCCCCGCCAAACTTGGTACCCGTACCTGCACAGGCTAGCGGTTCACCCTCCTTACCTGCTACCACACCGTGTAGACCTGATATCTCAGAGCAATGGAACGATACTACACCCACAGCTCCACACCCTACACCTTCAGGCTTGGCTGCTCTCTGGTTCTCGGAGATAGAAAATTACTGTTCCCAGAAAGTGAAAGACATCCTCCTCCACAGTAGGAGACAGTCCACTCGAAAAACTTACCTACAAAAATGGACTCGATTCTCCCTCTGGTGCCAGCAAACCAAGGTAGAACCCCGTGTCGCCCCATTAAATACGATTTTGGACTACATTCTAGACCTTAAAGTGTCAGGTCTGTCAATTTCTTCTTAAAGAGTCCATCTTTCTGCAATAACAGCGTTCCATACCTTCATTGATGGCTTCTCCATATTTGCCTATCCTATCACTAAGAGATTCCTTAAAGGGCTCCACAACGTATACCCACCCCGTAAGGCACCACCCCCCTTATGGGACTTAAATCTTGTTCTCCACCAACTCACCGGACCTCCTTTCGAGCCTCTGGCTACAGTACCACTCCCCTTTCTCTTTATGAAAGTCTGCTTCTTATTAGCTATCACGTCCGTCAGACGGGTGAGTGAAATTGGGGCATTAATGGCAGAACCCCCCTACACAGTTTTTACGAAGGATAGGGTCATACTTAGACCTCACTCAACATTCCTGCCAAAGGTCTGTACAGAATTCCATGTAAATGAACCGATCGTACTACCTACCTTTTTCCCGAAACCGCATGCATCACAGAAGGACGCCACTCTGCATACCCTGGACATTCGGAGGGCTCTCGCCTTCTTCCTGGAAAGAACAAAACCATTTCGTAAATCCGAAAGACTTTTTATATCCATCGCTGAGCGTTCTAAGGGAACACCTCTGTCATCACAACGAATCTCAAAATGGATCTCCACATGCATAGTCAAGTGTCATACCTTGGGCAATAAGCCACTACAATGCCCACCAAGAGCGCATTCCACTCGAGCCACGGCCGCTTCTACAGCCTTTTTGAACAATGTCCCCTTAAGGGATATTTACCGAGCAGCAACGTGGTCTTCAGACCACACTTTTGCCAAACGTTATGCAATCCTACCGCAACTTAGACATGACTCAGCAGTAGCTACAGCGGTGCTCTCTACTACCGCTAAACATTGACTCCTGCTCCCTCCAGCCATATATTGAATACTGCTTGGTAGTCACCTAGAGTGGAGCACCCACGGGGACACTACTCGAAGAAGAAAAGGGAGTTACTCACCTCGTGCAGTAACGAGTGTTCTTCGAGATGTGTGTCCCCGTGGGTGCTCCACTCTAGGTGAAGGGTCGCCCTGAGCCGCAGATCGGAGCTTTGCAAAGCAGTTTTCCCCCTGTTGAGCCACGCATGCTCAGAAGGCGTCTCGAGCCCTTCCCGCCCTCTGCAGCGCGCAGCTCAACCCCCTCCCTTTCAGTTCCTCATCTCCGCCCGAGTAATTTAGACTCCGTGCAGAGGGGAGGAAGGGAGGTTCGTGGAGCACCCACGGGGACACACATCTCGAAGAACACTCGTTACTGCACGAGGTGAGTAACTCCCTTTTTCTCATTTAGAAGTAGTTGTTTCTGGGGCTAATTCTAGTTCAATAGCATGTTAAGTAATCCCACAAATAAAGAGTGCACACTATGAACGAAACTTCAATAAAGGGCTACTCATCATGAGTCAAATGGTTTCTGATTGTTAATGTATCATAGAATCATAGGACTGGAAGGGACCTCAAGAGGTCATCGAGTCCAGCCCCCCGCCCTCAAGGCAGGACCAAGCTCCACCTACACCATCCCTGACAGATGTCTATCTAACCTGTTCTTAAATATCTCCAGAGAGGGAGATTCCACCACCTCCCTTGGCAATTTATTCCAATATTTGACCACCCTGACAGTTAGGAATTTTTTCCTAATGTCCAATCTAAACCTCCCCTGCTGCACTTTAAGCCCATTACTCCTTGTCCTGTCCTCAGAAACCAAGAGGAACAAATTTTCTCCTTGCTGGAGACCAGGTAAATGAGAAACATATTTAGATGAATACACTAGAGAGGAAGGTGATGAAGGCCCTTAGATGTTTTAAAATTGACTATGAAGTGTACAAATGGTGTTTTCAGTCTTGCTTTTGAGATATCAGAACTTGCCTCCTCTACATATCAAGCTGCAAGAGGATTTTGATAGTCTTTTGAGGGTCTGGAACATCAGAGCTGTAGGTTGAAACCCGAATTGCCATATTCCCAGCCACTAATCTGGGGGAAGGCAATGGTCTTTCTCAGTGTTTCTCAACCAGTGCTACAAGTACCTTTATGGGTACTCAAGAGAAGTCTGGGGGGTACATCAACACAACTGAAATTTGGAGAAAACTGAATTTTTGTTTTAAGTTTTACAGTGTTTTTCTCCTTTCTACACCCAAAAAATTCATCACCCACCTGGCTATGATTAAGTTGTTTAAACAAACGTGTTGCAACAGTAGAAAAAAATTGTTGTCTGAAAACTGTAGATACTGGGGCTACTTATACATTTTTTTTAAAAAAGGGGGTACTTTATAAAAAAGAAAAAAAAAAGGTTGAGAAACACTGATCTATCTTAACCTGAGCCACAGTTGGTCAAGTTTTCATCCTATAGCAGTGAGGTGCAGATGCAAACTGGAAGTTGCTAATAAAAAAGTTGCTGCAAGCTGAAGTTGCTAATAAAAAGGCCTCAGTTCTAAAATAATAAACTATTAAATCTCTGAAAAGCTTTACCTTTCAGGCATCTCAGTTTTGGGAAACCAGTCCCATTTGGTACAATCCCCTGGTCTCGTCACATGTCAGGTTTGAATTCAGGACTTCTAGATCTAAAAATGTGACCTTCACAGCTTGAGCTAAAGGATTTGGTGTGTTAGTTTAGTGGCAGTAGCATGCTCAATATCTTCACATGGTCTAGCCACAAGAGAGGGGTGAAGAATCACTATGTTAATGTGAATTATTTCTCTCTCTCTCCCTTTTAAAAAAAGGATATATTTACACACACACAGATTTTTAAAAAATAAAAAGCTTTATTTCCAAACTATTCAACAAGGCAGCCATCTTGTCTGTTGGATTATCCTAAGCTTGTCTTTACTCTGGGAAGAGAAACCCATTAAAAATAAATGAGGCAGTTTGCTGTAGGTATAGGCAAATGAACAATTATTACTTCCGTGTATTTTAGCTATCGGTAGAGAATTGTGATCCCCAAGGAGTAGGTTGTGTTCTTCAGGGATGTTGAAATAAACCACAAATTTCTACATTCTGAACCTGGGTATGGAGTCTACTTAACCTCACTGTTGTCTGTAACTGGTATATATCCTCCTTTTTGTTCCATTTCTTTACAAGACAAAACTGTCGTGTCATCGTGTTTACTTTGATCGTAATTAATCTTACTAATCATCCTGAACTAGACATTCTCTTGTTGAAGAAGTTTGTAAGAGTCAGTTTCATAGGAATTTTTGGCAAAGCTATGAATATGTCTTTTTAAAATCTTGGACGTAGTGTGCCTCAGGGAGTTACAAATTATGGAGTTAGTGCTCCCTTTGGTACTAGCTTGGGAGGTTTGTTTAAGAAACATTCCATGCTCTATATGTTACTAATTCTGTTTAAATTTTGTACTGGTGCCCAACACTGTAGTATCTGACCCTTTGTGGCAAGACTTATCTCCACTGTATCAGATGTGGATGTGAAGGATACATGTTAGAGCTTCAGTGTTTCTGACTGTTTGCATTCTGAGAGTAGTTTTATGACGGAATTGTCTGCAGATCATCCTTCCTTTCATAATCTGTTCGACCTGGTGGAGGGCTGCAGTCAGTCCCCATCTCTAAAGCCCTGCACATCTGCAGATATCTGTTTTATATCTGCAGCTGATATCCACAGCTCATTTTTGTGGACACAAATGCAGATGTGGGTACAAATTTTGTATCTGTGCAGGGTTCTACCCATCTCCCCTGACCTCTCCACATCTAGTCCTACCCATTGCTGTCCTCCAGGGGCTGGGGAAGAAAGTTGTCTCCTTACTGCACCATACAGTAGGAACTCTAGCCTTGTCCCTAGCTGCTTCTTCCAACTAGGGGTGTGAATGTGTATTCATATACACGGTTAACTGAGGAGCGCGGGCTCATCAGTTAACCTTCATGGTTACATGCAGCCCTCCCACTCCCATGTGTGCTGCTGCCTCTGCTGTATGTGCAGGGAGCTACCTCTTCCCTCTTCCCCCCCCAGCAGCAGCTGGCAGCACGGGATTGGGCTGGTGGGAGCTGATACGCGCTTAAAAGCCAGATCCTTCTGTGTACTGGCTCCCGTGGAGTGTGTACACACCACACACCACACACACACACACACCATGTTGCTGCCTCTGTGTCATACAGAGCAGCACAGGCAGAGGAAAGCAGGCAGGAGCCAGTGTTCACAGGGAGCCAGCTCCCACCTGTCTCTGCACCCAGCATGTAAACATGTAACCGCTGAACTTTTCAGTGGTTACATGTTTAAAATGTGTTTATTTAGGTTAATGTCCCTACTTCTAGCTGCACTTCAGATTCCAGTTTAGAAGACTCCCTGCTGATCAAGTATCTGCACCAGATACCTGTCAAGTTGCAACAACTTTAATTTTACCTTTGCCTTCTACCTTGCCTATTAAGTTCTTGAGCTGCCATGGGAAAGTCAAAAATAGCCCAGGCCAGGCTTAACAATGGGGGGGGGGGGGGGCCTTTGTGCGTCCTTGTCAGTCCTAAAAAAAGCAATTAGCACACACTAGACCCAAAAAACCCTGGTCCTAACCTCAGGGTGGGAGAATAGGAGCTGTTTTTTTCTGGTCATGTAATGGAGCCCAATCAGGGGAATAGGGCTAATATGCCACATTCTTGTATGTATAGGACCATATGAGCTTCCGTTGCACTCTTTAAACAACCCAGCTATCTAGGATGCCCCACATCCAAACCCATGAGGAAGCTGGGCACCCATTAGAAAGATGAGGGGTGACCCTTCATGAAGCCAGAGAGCCCCTCTCTCCCTTGCCTGTCCAGATGAATCCTCTAATCTCTGAGACCACTGGGGTGCATGGACAGCCTTTGGTTTTTTAAAGTTCTCCAACTGCTTCTAGAAATCCTCCTGCTAAAAACTGAGCCACTCTAGAGGTAAAACACCTCTTTTTATTTTCCTCTAGTTTTATGAAAGAACTGAATGTTCATTAGTACACTAGCTTCTACGTTTTATAGATTAAATAATTGTCACAAATTTTATTTTGCTACTAGATTTATTTCCTTTTGATTTGGATAGTTTTTATAATTTAAATGAAAATTTTTACAGAAATAGGATAAATTGCTGCAGTTGCACTATTAGGAGTATTTTTAAACTAATATATTTTCTTTTCTATGAAAGTGCCATGTTTTATTTTTCATATTCAGGAAAGTGAAAATGCTACTGTTACTCTGTCTAGGGCATTTCAGGTCTTAATTCTCCATTATAGACCATTAAGTAAAATATATATACTCTGTAGCTGTAATAGGTAACTTTGGCTTTGTGCTTCGATTTATTGTGTACTACTATATGCTTCTGTTTGAATATATTGTAAGTTTGAAAAAGTTTTCTATAAACACTGTAGACGGTAACTGGAAAACAGATTCTATATGAAGTAAGATTTTTTTCCTTATTCTGAAACTACTGGGAAAACTTGTACAAAAGGTATGTTTATATCTCAAATATGAAAAAATACTATAACATCTGTTTATTTTTACCACCACTAATCAGCTACAATGTTACTTACTATTTCTAAAGCATACATTTGAC